TTGACTGCTAATTTCTCCCTGAAAGACGTTGGAAGATGGCTTCCAAAATTAATGGTGTAAGACAAGTTTACAAACTGTCAGGCTTTGAAGTGAAAATTAGTGTGTCATTCTTTCTGAAAAGAGCAGAGCACAGAACTGACTGCTACATTATAAGAATCTCTCAAGGCAAAAATACATTGTTTAGGCGAGAGGACAAAAGTTAAACAAACGTTTTATTCTCCATCTCACTTTCCAAATTCCATCAACACATCTATACTCACACACACCCACACACAATTGGAAGAACAAATTATTATTCTAGGAAATCAATAGCCATGGGAATTATATGATGGTAGATCTTGACATTTCACTTGGAAAAAAAAAAGTTGTACTGACACATGTAACTGAAGAGGGCCATGTGGAAGAAATCTGGAGACAATGTGATTATTTTCTAACTTCCTAAAGTCAAAGAAAGACTATATTATTCAAAATTTAATAGTCATGTTGAGAAAAACTTCAGAAAAAAAAATGCTAACATTTTCAAATACAGTCAAATATTGGCTTTATATTCAGGCCAAAATTCTAGTATCTCTAAAAACTCTGTTTCAGCCACTATCTTCGAATCTTAAAATATTAGAGCTGTGGATTCCTCCAAAGCTGTAGCACAAAACCACTTCATTGTTTAAGCTGACAGAGGGCTTGGGATGCATATTGCTGAAACTAGGCAGATTTGGTTGCATTCCAGATTTGCCTTTTCTTTTTAATGAAACTGTGAACACTTTCCTTAATTTTCTTGAGTCTCAGTTTTGCATGACTATAATTGTAAAAAAAAAAAAGGAAAAAGAACACAGATCACAGATTTTCTGAAAGGATTAAATTAGACAATAGATTGAGAGCATGTGGCACATAGCTGGGATCTGTAATGGGAAATGTGACCATGCTGAATGAGGAAACAAAAATTTTGATCATGAAAGCAGAATCTATTCTTGGGCGGAGGGATGTGGAGGTCTGCTTTTCTGGAGCAGATTTCATACTGGAGCATGTTTTAATGGGAATGCACAATGTATTTCCTAGAGACAACTGGACATGAAAAATTTCAGGGAACACATGCTATACTGAACTATACTATACTATACTATACTATACTATACTATGCTATACTGTGCTATATTATACTATACTACACTATGCTATACTATATGATAATATGATATACTATTCAACTATATAATTGAAGATCTGACCATGTATTCCCTGAAGTATATGTTATTGCAAAATTGGTATCACTCCCACAAAAATTCTGAGTCCAATTCTCCTTTTTCAACTTTTATTTGCCAACTGTCCTCTTCCCAGAGAATGATCTTCCCCATGGTGGATTGACTTTCTTTTCTTTTTTTTTTAATTGTTGAAACAGAGTCTTGCTCTGTCACCTCAACTGGAGTGGAGTGGCGTGATCTAGGCTCACCACAACTTCCACTTCCCAGGTTCAAGCGATTCTCCTGCCTTAGCTCCTCAATAGCTGGGATTATAGGCATGCACCACCACATCCTACTAATTTTTGTATTTTTAGTAGAGATGGGGTTTCACCATGTTGGCCAGGCTGCTCTCGAACTCCTGACCTCAAGTGATCTACTTGCCTCAGCCTCCCAAAGTGCTGGGATTACAGGCATGAGTCACCATGCCCAGCCAACTTTATTTTCTATCTATCTATCTATCTATCTATCTATCTATCTATCCATCCATCTTATCTATCTCTAACATTTTTCATCTGTCTGTTAACTAATCTACCTCAAAATTCAGAATGTGGTATTGTGAGACTGAGATATATATGAACATATTTATTTAAATTCGTAAAGTTAAATTATTTCAACAAAAAGATGATATACAGGTATCGATCGACTTATGACCTATGCAACTTACGACCATTCGACTTTACGACCACAATCGCTAGCCACGACTGCTCTGCGTCTGGCAGCGGAAACGTTGCCTAGCTGGGCGTACGACAGTGCAGACCAACTTCCGGCAGCACTACCATCTCTGCGTGCATATAGCCTACTCAATTTACGACCAAATCGTGTTATGACCACTCTGTTGGAACCAACCCTGGTCGTAAGTCGAGCACTAGCTGTAGTATAAAAATAAATTATGAAGGAATTTCATGTCATCTACTGTTTTAATAATAGTAGTCACTTTCAAATCATAGTATTTAGCTTCCCTTGTATACAGTTAATAGGATGATTTAACAATTTTCTATTTAAATGTCAACATTTGTAATGCATTTGTTTTGTATCCTTGTGTCATAAGCATAAGATTATGATAAAAAGTTTTAGATGCCAAGTTAAAAATATGTTAGATGGTAACTAGTGTTTCAAAAGTCTTTTTGTGTTACATGAACAAATACATTTGTGGACACCTGCCATAAATTTGTTTACCAGAATTCTGAAAGAGCACATAAAACTCTTAGAAAACATCTTTTCGACTTTATTCTATAAAACTGAACATTTATACATGTGTTTAAATAACATCAACATGTTTTCATTAAAAAAAATGTTGCTAAAGTTAAATACATAATAAAATTATTATAGTGCTGCTGCACCATGGGAGGTTATTAGTAACTGCATGTTAAGATCAATCTCTATTTTCTCTATAATTGCCCGGGTCAGAGGCCTGTACCTGTAAATTAATGTAACAAAGTGTATTCTATGGTATGCCAAAGAGGAGCTCCATAGATGTCTTTAGGAAAAGAAAGGCTACAGGTTTGGTTGTCTTGATAGATGCTCTATCTTTAGTAAGACATAAATTTAGGGTCTTTTGGTATTTATTGGCATTATATTCTTTAAAAATATATTGAAACCCTTGAGGATTCCCAGTTGTGTGTTGGACTTGTTCTTCGCAAACGCCTTGTCACTGAACACAGGATCAGAGAAGCTGCCTAAAACCTCTCAAAGATGTCTAGCACAGAATGCCCTACCTAACTTCTCTACCTTAATTGAGTAATTCCCTCTTTTGTGTTCAAACCATCAATCATTCTAAAACTTGTCAGAGCCCAACTGTTCTTATAAGGCTGCTTCATTCATGTCATTATCTAAAATTCTGTCATAGTTCTTCATAGAACTGTATTGTATGCCGCTTCATTGCATCATACCTTTATAAAGTGTTATACTTGAGCCTCCCTCTAAAGAAAAGACTGCATAAATAAGAGACTATTTCAGATTTTTTGAAATGTTTTCTATCTTTCATAATATTTAAGGCAGTAGACATTCCACAAATTCTTCATAGTGGGCTCTTGATCATATTTGCCTTATTTCTTCCCTAAACCTAGTCCTAAGTAATTATAGCATTTCCCCTTTGCATGCTACCAAAAACTTATTAAAGACAAATTATCTCAAGTAAAATTACTATAGATAATAATTCCTGTCTACTGTTCATTGATAGCCTGGTTTTCAGAAAGCTACTTTAGGTTTAAATAATGTAATTATAATTGCTTCAAATTGAAAGCGGTGTGGCACAAAATCAAGTCTAGTGCCCTTAAAGGCTTTTTTGATTCAAATTCCCAACCACACAGTAGGTTGGTTAGAAATAGATTTAAGACTAGAACTCAGGCTCCTGATTTCTGATCAAGTGTTCTTGGTTTAATAACACAATACCTTTTCAGACTGTAAGCTAGAGCTTCTTTTTTTTTATGAGCATGCTCTTAAACATACACACTTTGCAATCATGCACTTATTCCCTGCTTCCTTTTGCTTCTCTGTGAGTAATTAAAAGTAGGCTATTGATTGGAGTTTGAAAGCACCAATGCATCACAATGTTATTAATATAACACATACAGAACAATTTTACAGTCACAACTTGGGAGAGTTGTGGTAGGTTTCTCCTTATTCCCTTTAAACTTTCCTTTAGCTGGTGGAAGATCTTTAATAACAAACTGAGACACTATCCTTTCATCTAAGATCTTTACTTTGAAAGATATAACCCTGTTTCTTAAAGAAAACACTGTATTTTAGACCAAGAGAACATCATCAGAAAAAACTGACAAATTCCATATTGTAATGGTTATGGCAGTAAAATTATTTAATAGTTGAAATAATTGGCTGAGCATGATGGCTCACACCTGTAATCCCAACACTTTGCGAAGCCAAGGCAGATGGGTCACCTGAGGTCAGGAGTTTGAGACTAGCCTGGCCAACATGGTGAAACCTTGTCTCTATTGAAAGTACAAAAATTAGCTGGGTGTGGTTGCTAGTGCCTGTAGTCCCAGCTACCTGGAAGGCTGAGGCAGGAGAATCACTTGAACCCTGGAGGTGGAGGCTGCAGTGAGCCAAGATTGAGCCATTGAACTCCAGCCTGGATGACAAGAGTGAAATTCCATCTCAAAATTAAAAAAAAAAAAAAAAGGAAAATAAATAATTGGAGTTTTTTTTTTTTATTATTGATGATAATATGCAGAGTGAATAGAAAAGAAGAAAGATGACATTCAAAGGAATGCTAATATAAAAAGATTGAAAGACAATTGTGATTCAAATGAAAGTGTAAAATTTTAGACTAATTTTAACCAAGAACTTGGAGTGGCCAGGCATACCCACAGCAATCAAGTATAGTGCAAGAAGTGAAGGAATTTCCGTATCAACGACAATATATCAAGTAGGGGTAGACTAGACTCAGTAAGTGGCAGGGCTCTGGCTCTATGGTATCCAGAGTATATCTGCTGGATGCATGCTAGTTTCTAAAGCTGACTTTGACTGCCTTTAGTAAAGTGGAGGTCAAGTTGTCTTTTCCTCACTTCCCTTACCAGAAACCTCAGGTAAACTTAGGGAGGGATGGAACAGTTCTAATCTGGGTTCTGGTCAGAATCGACTGGAGAAAATTAGAGGAGCCAATATGCCTTCTGAATAATATTTTCCCAAATGTCTTCTTCAAAAACTTTAGGTGCTATGTTAGCACAATGTTTGTTTGAATATGAAAATAATTTAGAAGAATCAAGCAAAACAAGAATGTGAGATATGCTAGGAAGGTCATTAAAATGTGCCACACTTTTTTCATCTTATTGTTCTCCATCAACTGATGACATAGGCTTCACACTCAGACTTGCTCTCCTCCACCTTCTCACCAATGTTGGATCTTAGCAAAGTTTCTAATGTAAAAGCAAAGCTAAATCATCTTCCAAATCAATGATTTCAATAGCTGTTTTTTATAACTTGTTCATCTTGTCATCTGCCCAGCAATGTAGTATTCCCTAGAGAAAGTGGAAACACTGTTTTATTAGTTGTTTACAAGTCTTTTTAGAACAATTTAGTACAAATTCTATAAAAAAAACAAAAACATAAGGGGCAGAAAATGTGGAAATGTTTACCTAAACTCAGATTTGAACAAATAAACAGAATAGCTTTAGTCTAATAATAAAGGAGAACTTTTCCTATATCGGTGGCCAACTCAGTGGCATAATATAGAAAAATAAAACACATTTTGGTGGCCTTTCTTAAAGGCAACTTCTCACTTATTTTATTTTATTTATTTTTTTACCTCTTCTCAAGGGTTTCTCACTCAATGCTCATATTTAATGTCAAGAATTTTGACCATAAAAAAGGCTCAGAGAACACAGGGCTTCAGTTGGTGGTACACTATCTTTTCTTTTGAGGAAACTGAGACTTATAAAAAAAAATAGGAAAAAAAAGAAGTCCAAGGTACAAAGACAAAGGTTTACAAAGAAAATACTCATTCTGTACACTGGGAACTAATTTAATAAACAACCTCTCCCTGCTAGCTTGTGATTAAACTAAATTGCCAGCCTAAAATTTTCTGTGCAGAATTTCAAATGTCAATACATTATATTGCGATTCCTCTTAATTTCTCACAAAGAAAATGCAAAATGAATTCATTATGCTGGAGTAAGTGGAAAAAATGATGAGTTTCTACAGAAGAGTATGCAATGGGGAGAGATTGGGCAAGACGATTATATTGAGATATTTGAATAGCTGGCCATTAGCAAGAGCGTCCCCATTACTCTGCTGATAATTATATCTCTTCTGCTATGACTTCCCAGTGGAATAGTAGAATGTTCCCAGTGCTAGAGATAATGAAAAATACCATTCAGGTGGTACATATATGCCAGGAATAGAATGCAGTATTTCTTTCCTTCCTGGTTTTTGCTCTGCCTCAGCCCCATCAAATCCAACTCCCTGTGTCTTGTCACTCTAAGGGCACACACCTACACAATATATGTTAATACGTGTTTGGTTGTTCTTTGCTATGTACAGGAAGAATAAACGTATCTTGAAAATGGAGATGGCAATGGAATATCATTCTTCCAGCGTAATTATACCCTGTGTTTAGAAAGCGCAGTGTTTTGCTGAGTGCATTTTTGTTCGCTATTATGTAAATGACTTTTAAAACCTGCTATAGTTCAGAGTGAAGGCTATGGATGGGATCTTATAAGGATAAAACTCCTTTTTTTTCTCTGTAAGGAAGGAAAAGTGGTTGCATGTTCTTTTAATTAATCCATCATTTGGCAGACACTTTTTAGCAATCAAGTGCAATTATACAAACAAAAAGATATAAAAAATGGGATCAAACAATAACACCCATTCATCTCCAATAACAATTTCCCTCCCTCTCTTCTCTTTATTTTTTTCTCTCTCCTTTTCTCATTTGAACATTTCATAAAATATCTCATGTGTTATTGCCACCTTATCATAGTGTGGCATTTTTATTGCCCTTTATTTTCTGTTTGGGGAAAGCTTGCTGGGTACTGTATGTCTTCAGAAATTCATTAATTTTACAGAAAACTCAATTTGCATCCCCCCTCCCTTTGCTCCATCATTGCTGTTTTAAATTCTGGATCCTTTCTTGAGAGTTTCATTTTAAACTTATATATACACACAAGAAGGAAAGTTCCATCCAAACAGCTTATATTTGCATCCTGCAGAGGGCAGTGAAATGTTAACATTGGTTTTACCCTCCATAAGGGTTGAATTGAGAACTGCTGATTTTTCTGTACTTTGGCACTCACTGGAAAGCAGGACAAAAGAGCAGCTAAATTATCCAAGGGTACCTTTTTTTTTTCTATTAAAATTGTATTTGCATTTAGAGTCAGAGAGGTGTACTTTATTCTGTATTTTCTAATTAAAATATTTACCTGAAAATTTATTCAGAATGCAAAAGGTTGCAATATGTACTGACAAGTGGCTATGACTCAAACCACGGGAAATGAAACGTGTATTCATGGTGTCAGCTTTAGGATTCATACTCAATATTCAGTTAGTATCCAATTGTAGTCCAAAAGACTGGTTTATATAGTCCATGATTAATGGTAATTTCATAAGAAAATGAACCACTTTTAGATTGAAAAACTTAATTTATAAACTGTACCTTGAAAAAAGGCAGTATCAGGAAAAAAATCACTTTCACTTACAAATTGTGTGTTTTATCATCATAGTAAACATTACTTTGTAACTAAGTGTAATGGTGAATATGTTTTAAAACTGATTAATTAAATTATTTGTACATATGTTAGAAAATGCCTGCTTTCCCCAAATGTAAAATACATTAGCTTGTTGATCTCTAAATTGATCACATTTAAATTTAATGTAAGCCAAAATACATGGGTGTGTCTAATATATGTATGTATGTATACTATTGGTGGATAGTAATGACATATAGTCAATATATCACACATTCTAGCTATCCTAATTTTCATAAAGGTCTTATTAATTCTGCAATGGACCTATAGAATGTTTTGTACCCAATATTCAGTGAAAAATCATGAAATATTTTAATGCTTTTACCATATTGTATGATCAAATAAGTGTTATTTGTGATTGATTAAAAACTGTATACCACAGCATAATATTTATTTGGACACAACCTCTAACTTTTAATAAGGATATCTGTAACAACATACTCGTATTTCACATTCCCCTGAATGGATTTGTTCTCTCCTGTTTTAATCATCTTTTCTCTCTCCCAGTGACTTTCCATTACATTTCCAAACTATTTTCATTTTTCTTTTAGATGGCAATACCTATATGATCAAGATCTCTACTTCTGGTCCCTAAATGCTTCCAAGTTTCCTTGTCATATGTATGTTTTTCTTTTTTTTATTTTTTTCATTCATCTTTTATCTCTTTTTTTCTTTGGCTATTCACATTAATTTCTTTCCAGACTATAATCACCTCATCCTCCTCTTGCTTTTCTAAAATTAAATTTACTAAGTTTAGCTGGTCCTGGCCAGGGTAAATTTTCTCACATTCAGAGGTGCACTCTATCTGCATTAAGAGCGAGTCCTCTCTGGAAGTTTTTTTTGTTTTTTTTGTGTTTTCCTATTCTAACCTTTGTTTTTTGTAAAATCTTTCCAATTTTATTAGTTTAGGAGAATTTAATATTGGCTTATTTAATTATTTGTCTACTTTTTAACAAATAATTTATTTTTCCAAGCTTTTGACAAGAAATTGTATGTCAACTTAAAATTAGTAATACTATTGCTCTTAACCTACTGTTCGTTTCCACTGAAACTGTGCTAGCTTAGATTCACATTCTGCTATGAAGGTTTAGACCCAAGGGTGCCCCTTGCCTCCAAATTTTTTCTGTGATATGGGAGTCCATTCAGCCTGTAAGGGCAAGGATACCTTTTCCAGGGTAACCGTCACTAATGGGTATTTTAAAACTCCCACTTCCTACCGTTCAGGGGGCAAAAGTTTAGGAACTATACTGCATGTTTTACAGGTAGTCCAAGCCCTTGTGGTTACTATGGTCAACTCAAAAGCACTAATACACTTACATTGGCTTTCCCACTTCCTTGGCTGATGGTCCCTGATTCTTTACTCTTACTCCCTAGGTTATCTACTAAATGAATCACTTGAACAAAGATCCTTGATTGAGGCACGCTTTATAGAGTGCACAAGTTAAGATGCTCATCTTAAAACACAAGCAACATAACACATGACGATAATATGATATGGTTGACATGTTTATATGGCTCTCGATATAAATTTAGGGGATAGAAGCACAGCTTTGATACGTGGACATACTGCGTAACAGTGAAGCCCAGCTTTTAGTTTAGCCATCACACAATTAGATATTATAAAAAATTGACTTACTGGACACATTATATTTGAGACACAGCATAGCATTTGATACGTTTATCTTCTCAGTTTTAACAATTTGTATACAGACTTAATAGTTGTCATAAAACAGAATTCTAAAATTCGAGTTTATATAAATATCATTTTAGCCAGCTGTACATTGACCATAATTATAAATGCCAATTTGCTGTGTAACAATAAAAGTGTATTTCATACCTCAAATTCTAAGATTAAAAAAAATCTATCAATATCACTGGTAGAAGAATGTTAAATCGTTTAATTCAACCAAATTCTAAACATTAAACAAAATCTTAACATTTTCAAAATCATTTCATTAAAAATTATTTTTATTAGCATATAAACATTTATGATATGAGAGTATCAACATTATTTTGAAATATATTTGGTATAGACATACATAAAATAAACTATAACTGTGTGGGAGGAAATATCGGTAGAATGACTACCAAGCAGTCAAGGAAACAGTTTTCATTTTAGAAGGTACATATTTTTGTGTCATTAATTAATAAGTGAAGCTAAAACCAGGGATAGAAGGAAGAGGAGTGTGAAGTGACAAACATATGTAACATTTCACTCACTGAATTTTTGTGTACTTTCTAAAACATTAGAATAAATAATATTCTATAAATAAGTAACATTCTAACACTGGTTAGAATAAAGTTAAGAAACAGTCAAAATAACTGAGGCATAATAGTTAAGTTGTTCAAACTATTTTGTCAGTTTATTCCTCTGTATTTTAAAGAAATTGTTTGGCAGAGAATTTTTGAATAAGTAAAACAATCAACATCCATTAGGCGTTTAGCACTCTGAATTTTCATAGTGCATAAAATTAACTGAAAGTAGGCTATAATGAAACAAATACACACCTAACAGCAAGATGGCAGATTTAAATAAATTAATATTAATAATTATATACAGTTAGACTAAAAATCAAAACAAAAAACAAAGATTTTCAGGCTGGATAAAATGTAGGGCTGAAATACATGCTATTTTCAGGAGATAAATACTTAAATTTAAAGTCATAGCTAGCTTGAAATTAAAATTATGAAATTAAATATGCCAAGTAAATCAAATTATCAGAAATCTATACTAGTTCTATTAATATATAATCTTCAGGACAGGAAACATAAATTAAATATGTATATATAAAAAATCAATTACTCATTACATAACAGTCCTAAATGTCTGCGTATCTAGTAACAGAACTTCAAAATCAATGAATAAAAAAAACTGAAAAGAGAAATAGAAAAGTATATAATTACAGCTGAAAATTTTAACACCCTTCTCTCAGTAGTTAATAAGAAAATAGAGAGAAAATCAGTAAAAATATGAATGAATTGAAAAATTTTGACCAAATTTGATTAAATGAATACTTACAGGAACTATAGACAAAAATATATATCAAAAGATAGAATTTTCAGATATACATAGAGTGTTCTGTGAAATAAATTATATTCTTAGTTCAAAAGAACGTTTCAAAAAATGAAAAATAAAGTTTTTTTCTAACCAAACATAATTAATTATAAATAAATTTAACTGTATTTAGAAAATCTTGAATGTTTGAAAGAAAAAAAAAATCTAAGCCAAAGAAGAAACACAAAATAAAATAGAAAAATTCTAAAATAATGAGACTAAAATTTCACAGTCTTTGTGATGCAGCTAAAACCATGTATATCATAATATTTGTTTCTCAAATATTTATTTAAGATAATAAAGAACTGAAATCAATGATTTCGTCTTCTACATTAAGAAGCTAGAAAAGAAGGCCAAATAGAAGATAGAAATAAATGAACTTTAAAAAGAATAGATTTTACTAACACAGAAAACAAACACATACAAAAGTGGAAAAATAAAGAGAATTATACTGCAAATCTAGATCCTCAATAGATTGTTGAATTCTAACATACATCCTAGGGAGAAAATTTTTATTTACTTATGTATTTTTTAGAGATAAGGTCTCTCACTCTACAACTTAGGCTACAATGCAATGGCAGGATTTTTGGCTCACTGCAGCCTCAACTTTCTGGGCTCACGGCATCCTTTCACCTCAGCTTCCTAAGTAGCTGGGATTACAGGTCTGTATCACCATGGCTGTTCGCAAACTCCTGTCCTCAAGTGAGCCTCCTGCCTCAGTTTCCCAGAGTGCTGGGATTACAGATGTGAGCCACCATGCCCAGCCTCTAAGGAAGAAATAACATTAATTTTTACAGAAATTCTTTCAGATAATTTTTAATGGAATAAAATAAAGGGTAAAGAAATTGATTTAGTATTAGATAATCAAATAATTTTTGACAAGGATGCCAATACAGTGCAATGGAGAAGAGAAAAGTCAACACCATGGCACTAGAGCAGTTAGAAAGGAAGAAATATAAATCACCAATAAGTACATGGACAATCCTCAATGCTACTGGTCACAAAGAAAATAAAAATGGAACCACAATTAGATACTACTATATATTCACAAGAATGACTAAAATTAAAATGGCTCACAATATTAAGAATTAGTAAGATGCAAAACAATTGGAATTCTCATAGCTGGGTGGTGAGAGTGTCAAATAGGATAACTATTTTGCATATTGGGCATCTTCTCATAAAGTTAGTTATACATTAAATCTGTAGTCTAATCATTCCACTTTTATGCATTTACAAAACAGAAATAAATATGTGTACACAAAAATACATACAAGAATGACTAACAGAAAAATCGTAATATGATCATGTAATTGAATACTGCTCTGCAACTCAAAGGGACAAAGTTGTAGTAGGTGCAATAAAATGAATGAACTTCAAGTTAGTACACCGAAGAGAGAAAAAGACTAACTTTAGAGTAGAAAAACCTTAAAAATGGTATCTTAGGTGATCAAGGTCAACATCAGTAATAGTGAATAATTTGATAGTTTGCACCCTTGGTATGATATAATGAAAATGACACTTTTCCTGTCTTGTCTTTCCACCTCAAAACCCACAAGTCTATTCTAATTATGAGAAAAACGTCAGACAAATCCCAACTGAGGAAATTCTACAAAATATCATATCAATAATTTTCAAACATTAAATTTGTCAAAAACCAAGGAAATTCCAAGAACTGCCATAACTCAGAGCATATAATGACTAAATGTAATGTCTTATCCTAGAACCAGCAAAAGGACATTAGGCAAACAGTAAAGAAATCTGAATAAAGAACGGACTTTACTTAATAATAGTATATCGGAATTGGTTCATTAATTGCGACAAATGCATCCTTCTAATGTGAGAGTTTAATAATAAGGAAAACTGAGTGTGGGTCATATGAGAACTCTGTGTTATCTCAATATTTTTCTTTAAGTCTTATATTTTTAAAAATAAAGATTATCTTTTAAAAATACTATGATGAATACAAAGCTAGACACACAGGTGTACATACTGCACAACTTAACTTGTAATATGTTCTAAAACAGATTACAATAATATATGATGAAAGGAGGAATCAGAGCAGTGGTTGCCTCTTGGGAAGAGGAGTATAGATTGACTATATTCAAGAGAGTTTTCTGGAGTGATAAAAATGTTCTCTATCTTGATAGGAATGAAAGTTACATGGATTTAATCATTTTCAAAATTCATTGACTTATGCATTGGAAATCTTTGCATTTAATGTAGGAAAAAAAAAAAAAAAGAATGTAAAAGAAAAAGTTACTGAGGCCCAGTAATGAAGTATTCAAAAACTTACCTTCTTTCTGATTTACATGTCATCCATCTGAAATGAGAGCAGACATTTTTTTTTGCAGCTCTTTGCCTTGTGATATCTTTGTGCAAAAGCTACTTGGTAAGTACAAAGGCTCATTGTGACTGTGCAGGATGACTCACTGCGAATTGAACTTTTAAATAGGGAACTTTACTCCAAATTTTTACCTCCCTTTGTTTCTTGATCTGAATACATGCAGACATTCCTCCCCTTCCTTCTTCTATTTAAATTTTCAATCTGGAATGAACTCTTTCAGTAATCAGGATAAAATTTTCTCATTGCTATTATTATACAAATCATACTCTTTGCCCAGTTTTAGTTATGATGTCTTACCACTCTGTTACTCAAATATCCTGATAGTTGTTCACATTTTTGTTCATTTGAAACAACTATTGTGTTGCACTCCAAATCCCTTATTTTTACATAAGTCCTATGAATGCATCTTATTATCATTTATAGTTCATTCTCTTTCGAATTTTTACATGTACATTTTAATGGGAAAACAAAAAGAAATCAAAAGACAGAAGAGGAGAAAACAGAAATAAAGAGGAAATGAGAGAGTATGTGAAGAATGAAGAGAAGCTATAACTGAAAGAAGGCCCATGACTCAGTCGCGGTCACATAAACAGTCTAATATAACTATTAAAAAGCTATGACTAGCATGGCACTTTTAAACTAAATCATGCCTCCTCTTCCCCCTTAAGATTTTTCTGCATAATTTGAACCCTATGTGGAGACGTGGAGACATTAAAGACATATTTATATAAGTTTATAAATAAAATATGATATATAATTTAAAGGTGACATCTGTTTACAATTTCAGTGAACTCCATGATTTAATTTTTTTATCGTAATCTATACCTACCTATCTTGTAAATATATGTTTCAATGTAATGTGTAGACTTGAGACACAAAACATTCAAGGCAAGCTACAAGTATATACCACGTGACCTTGAACAGAGCTTGCTCCTATAGGATTTTAGTTTTTCATTATTCAGATCGAGACTATTTGTTGTACAATACATACATAGAATAGTAATTTACTGAGAATTAGTATACAGCAACTATAATTAAAATTGTTCTGAAAATAATTGCTTCTCTTTACTGATTCCAAATGCATATATTGCTATTTCAATGACAAAATATCACTAAGAACTTTAAATATAATTTTCTGGAGGAGTGTAAAGTGCCACTTAATAAACAGTTACAGTTAATAGAATGTCCAGCAACTGAGAATTTGCTCCATTTATTTTCTCACCAAGGACATAATGAGTGTTCAAGATATTCATGGAACTGTGCTAAATGATGTTAATTCTAGGAGAGAAACTGAGCCCTTACCCATGTAGAGATGGCCACACAAAAACAGCAACAAAATAAAGGGAATCAAATGGGTGAAAGCATTTTAGGAAAAGAGAGAAATTATTAGTTGCAAAATAATCATCCTCAGTGAAAAGTCAATGAACATTGATCAAGTATATAATAAATAAGCATAGAAATACAAAGACGTATCCAATCAAAGAAACCAAAACAAAGCAAAATTTCCAAGTATTAGGTAATCATGGAGACAAAAAGAGCAGTGCAAGGTCATCTAAGAAAATTTTGTCCAACGCAAGGTGGGGAAGAGCTTAAATATTGATTGATCTGACAAATGGACTGACAAGACTGATTCAGGTCAACAGTCTCCAGCTTGTCACTGAAATAAAAATAATGGGACCACTTTGTCAATTATGGATGTCAAATTGATGGGGGTAAAATAGAAAAAAGGCAGGTATGATGAGACCACAAAGAATGGTACACTCCAGCTTTCTCTGTGAGAGATAGCAAAATTTGAATTAGTAATTCATAAGATACTTGCCCTCAGACAGTATCTAATGTTTATGGCCATATAAAAATAGGGCTTCTGATAGTTTTTCCAAATGGTCTCTTCACGGTTTCAGGCAAAAACTCTACATGTTAAATATGTTGGAATGATCATTGAGAACTTCTTCACAGGTTTAATTGAGGCACAGTTTTAATTGCTAGCTGCTAGCTGCTAAATCAGGCATAGAATAAAGTAAAAAAAAAAAAAAAAAAAGATACCTTGCTCTAAGGAATTATTATGTAAATATTCACCACAGCCCAGGAATGCATTATACAATAGGTAGCAGGAAGAAACAGAAAAAGTACGGAGACATTCTAAAAAACAGATATCAAAAGGTAGGCAGAGAATATTGGAGAAAAAAAATCTATTATGAGGCCTGATCCTAAAGCATAAACATTGTAAATAAAATGGTGGTATAGGGAGAGGGAAGGAAAGAGGAAGATACTTTAGGCAAGGTGTACACCATAAACACAACAGAGGCTTACACTCCAAAGTAAGTATATTCCAAATGTGGACACTTGGGAAGTCAAGTAGAAGACCCCATTGATCCACAGAAGAATATTGTTAGAAAATACAGAAAGATGGTAATATAAACAAGATATTATTCTAAGCTCATATTATAGATAAAAAAACTAAGACACAAAGAACTTAAACTTGCTTGCTTGTTGAACTTGCTTGAGGTAATGTAGCTAGTGAAACTTGAAATTGACTATATAGACAAAGTGGCTCTAAAATTTATCTCCTAACTACTGTATTATACTTAATCTCCATATTAAATAAATAGGGTGTTAAGTTTACAGTTTACCTGTAACAAGTTTTCCAGACCTATTTGAATACAGTAAAAACTACTTGTGATCAATAAGCAAACATTCTTTCTGTGAATAATCTTACTCACCCTGTCAGTCTGCTCACTGTATTCTGAGATTCAGAGCAAGCAATAGTGAAACTTCTGAAAGGTGAAAAGGTAAACTCAACTCATCTCATCACCCTAAGGAGTGCATTCTGCCCTAAAAATAAACATAAATCTTGATCAAGCACTCAACTGAAAAATGGTACAGATAATCTTTGTTTGATTAGCTATTACCAAGTTGTAGTCAGAACGAAGAGAATGACCAATGAGGAACTGCCCTTTGAATAATCTCAGCTTAGAGTTTAGAGGGAAATTTTAAACAAACAAGGAAATAAATAAAATTCCATTATTGTTGTCACATTGACTTAGGTCCAGACTGTGGCACTGACACTCATAAAAGCATCTAATTTAGCCCACAAATTGTATCATGCAGTTTGTCACACAGGGAATTCATGTGCAAAGAGGAGGTGTCAAGTAAACTCAAGCTGCCTGGGAGAACCTTTAAGTGTAATTTCTTCTAAGTTTCTATTGGGGTATTTAACCTGCTTTGGGAAAATGTCACTCATGCTTATTATTGCTGCCTTTCTTGCCAAAGAGTTTCCAGCTAATGCCCCTGCAGGGATTGCACAGTGAGCCCCATTTTTCAAGGGCTTTCTAACTCAGTCATAAAAATTGGATCTGGGCGCAAGCTTGTCCCAATTGTGGTGCACTTTCTAGCTTGTTTGTTATAACCAGATGTATTTAAATTTTGTTCAGCTGCTTTTGAAGGTAGAAGGAAAATGACATTTTCTGCTTTTCAGATGAATTTTGGCGATACTAGGAATCTAAAGGGAGTGTGATTTTAAAATTAAACATGAACTTTTAGATTCTATTAAGACCATACTTTTGATCTGGGGCCACTGCCGATGGGCATTTCTATTAACAAGCAAACAGAAAATAAAACCCAGTGGAAATCATCCAGTTATAAAGGAGCTGATAATTCAGTTCCATCCCAGGCTAATAGTCAGCCAATTGTGGAATACTGTGACCTCCATGGGAGATGCATTCTGGCTCTGTGGAATATCAGACTGGGAGTTTGGGCCCAGACACAATTTTGGCTAGAAATTGAGAGGCAGGCACAATAAGAAGGGGAATTTTGATCATGTAATAAATATATGGAAGGAAAAAAAGAGACAAGATAAATTCAACCAACAGTTATTTTTGAGAGCCTACTATGTGTCCAAAAAGCTGACGAAAGCTTCTTCAGCAGTCAGCCATAAATATTGTGAAAGATGTGTAACAATGCAAACATGAAAGAGATGGCTGGAAACCAGAATGTGTCAATGTGCGCTGCAGATAAGTGCCCAGGGACAGAAGGGCTTATGTTCCTGTGGAAAAGATGCCATGCAGAGCTCCCTGACATCATTTTTCCTTTGTGCAGCAGGGGAAATTTGAACTAGGTCCTGGAAGACTTGGCAAGGAGAGAACAGGGACCTGCATGAAGAGAGTTACAGAGTGAGGACAGGATAAGCAAGGCATTTCTGGAGGACCATAGTAGCAAGCCCAGATGGAAAAATGATGGATAGTCTCATATGCCAGAATAAGGCTTATAGTCTTTTTTTTAAAGTAGTATTTAAACAGTTAATGAGGCCTTTTTTGAATAGAATAGAAGTTTAATTTTTTTTTTTGAGATGGAGTCTTGCTCTGTCACCAGGCTAGAGTGCAGTGGCGCAATCTCAGCTCACTGCAACCTCTCACTCCTGGGTTCAAGCCATTCTGCCTCAGCTTCCAGAGTAGCTGGGATTACAGGTGCATGCCACCACACCTAGTTAATTTTTTTGTATGTTTCGTAGTGATGGGGTTTCAGTATGTTGGCCAGGATGGTCTCAGTCTCCTGACCTCGAGATCTGCCTCCTTGGCCTCCCAAAGTGCTGGGATTACAGGTGTGAGCCACTGTACCCTACTGAAAATAATGTTTAAAAGACAGATCTGGTTTTAGGGACTAGAAAGAATTATTTTAAGACTAGAATAGAGGAAGCAGGAAATACTTTAATTAATAAGGCCTAAACTTTTGTGGTTATCAGAAAAAGAAAAAGGAGGGAAAAACAGCTTGGACTCAGTGACTTATTTTGTGTGAAGAATGGGAGGAAGAATGAAGAGAACTAGTAGGTGAGATAAGAAAACACTGAAGAACATGGTGCCCTAAGGTTCCTGGCTTTAAGCTGAGGCTCTTCTGTCTTGAACTTCAGGCTATGGGTCTTTTCTGCCTGGCAACCTCAACATAGGCATCAAAGTTAGGGATAGCGTATGTATCCTCATTCTTGTGTTTTGAAGAGAGGAAAAATGGAAGATTGTCTCTTAGAGCACGGGTCACCAACCCCAGGACCAGGGGACTGG